CCCCAAAACCCCAAAACCCCAAAACCCCAAAACCCCATGAAGACTCACCAATATTGAAAATCAATATGTTGAAGAAAAGAGGGTTAGTTATTTCTTAGAACTCTTGATTGAGACGGAAGCAAAGATTCCTACTCCTCAAAGGATTATGAATATAACAACAGGGAGTTGTCTAGGTCGCACCTCAGCAAGCTGAGGTGCTCCGATCGTGACAAATCTTGAGATAAATCCGGAAACCGAGAATGAGAAGGGAACAAATAGAGAGGGGAATATCTCTGGGTTTACATAATACACTATCAAATAAGCCCCTTCGAGGAACAATCTGCTCATGAATACACTGACTGCAATGATTACAGGGTCTTGAGAGAATAATAAAGGAATGGAGAAGACCAATGCCATAAAGAAACAGATCACGAAGGACTTCATTGTTCCAAAGAACCTCTGGATTACTCCTGCAGTGAAGTTCCCAATGACATCAGAGATGGCCCCTCCAATTGTGTTTAGGTAGATGTTCCCTCCAACGTATTTAAGGTAGAAGCTCAGCATGTAGAAGTTGAATGATACCACAGAGAAGCAGATAATCACTGCGATTAAGTTGATGATTGTCACCGGGTTTTGAAGCTCTTGAAAAACTGAGTATTCTGGACCATTTCCGATTTGAATTTTACTTTGTGTACCTTCCAAAAGTGGTTCCTGAGTCGAAGAGGAATATCCTTTCAAAAGCTCTAAAATGAAATTAGATATGATGACTAGCCAATAACTTACTTTTAGATGAATTCTTAGTGTAAGCCTCATAATGCTCTTGTTCTCCCTTAATTAGAAAGTTTGATTTAAGCTTTGTTCCATTAATTTCTCAAATTTGAGATAAGGTCTTCCTTAGTTCTTTATATCTCTTCTTTTCATACAAAAATTTCGGAGATTCAGGAAGATACAATGTTAAAATAGCTGAAATTACTGAGAGAAATAGACAAACAATTAAAGCAGTCTGTATATTTTTGTACCCAATCCATAAGTAAACAGAAGTAGGAATAATCACCAAGAACGAAGAGACGGAAAGAACATAGCTGCCAACATAGATCTGATATCTTTTTGGACAAACTTCGGTACAATAGATGTACAATGCCACCTTTGTAGCCATCGAGATTCCTGCAAGGAACAGGAACGCATACTTAGCGTAGATATTTTTCCAAAAGAAGAGGCAATATGCTCATACAACCATTATAAAACTTCCTCCAATAAGAATTTTCCTTCCATACTTATCAGCTTGCTTAAGTAAGATACCGTTGAGAGCATATCCAAAGAAAAAGAAGGACCCGAAGAGGCCGATCTTAAAGTCGCTGAGACAGTAGAGGTCCATGTCGGTCATCCAATTATTGAATGAGAACTCGTCTGAATAGTCAACTTTCCAGAGATTTCTAAAAACACACTATTATCAATTAAAAATTAACTAATGAGAATTAAGATAATGACTAAGGATTTGTCAATTTATCAAAAACTTGTCTAAAAAGACTCATATAGAGTCAGGAACGTGTATCTTTAAGCAAATATGCACCCCCAGTCTACATTAGGGCCTGAAAGGAAGGTGGCATTTCAGCTAGGATCGGGGATAAAAAGTTGAAAGTTTTACGTCATCTCATTATTTTGAGAAATATCTAGCCCATAAATGTTGTATTCTTACCTATCAATGAGAGAATCTTCTCTGCAGATATCTTCTTTAGTTCACTCCATAAACTGTCCAGTTTCTGAGTCTAGGCACTCGAGTCTTGGGACTAGTTCCAAGAATCCGAGGTTATAGATAAAGAAATTTACTCCATGCAGGGAAATCGTAGCTAGTGCGATCATTAACCACTGAAATTTCCCGAATCCTCCAGACTTTTCAATTCACTCGTCAATATCATAGACTGGGGCTTTAGAGTCGGTAAGAGGGATGGATGTAAACCCAGACAGGTCATTTACTCCATCATGACAGTTTACAGAGGTGGGAGTGCTCATTTTGAAGAATTAATTATTGCTAACTTCCTCTGTTTTAAATACTATCTTGGCAGATTCTCAACATATCCGGAACATTCTGGGGTTTTGGGGTTTTGGGGTTTTGGGGTTTTGGGG